TTTGTTGGCCCTGCAGACCTTTCTAAGTAGGAGGGTAGTAAAGCATTGGAACAGACTGCCCAAAGAGGTTGTGGAATCTCCATCCTTGGAGGTTTTTAAGAGCTGACTAGACAAAGCTTTGGCTGGGATGATGTAGTTGGGGCTGGCCCTGCTTTGAGCAGGGGGTTGGACTAGATATGACGTCCTGAGCTCCCTTCCAACTCTCATTTTCTATGATTCTGAAGGGGAGCAGGAATTTGGGGATGGGTTGAGTGGAGTTAGGGCCCACTGCTAAAATCCAGGGTATGGAGCCCCACTGGGGATAGGTATTGGCCTGAGGGGAAGGGAGGCATAGGGCCAGTGACAGTAGTATTTAACCTCTGTGGCATCCTCGCTGAACTGGACCCTGGTCTCCTCCTGACATTAGCCATCTCTAGGTACCACTTCAGGTTCACAGATTATTGTTGTATAGTGCTCCCATTTAGAGCAGATGCAGTTTCAGTTAGTACCATTGTTTGAGTTAAGGCCTCTGTCCCACCGTCCAGAGGGACGAAGGCCTCTCCAAACTCCCAACAATATGAATGTTTGGGTACAGGTGAGTGACCCCCTCAAATTAGAAATGTTGGACTGGGAAGGGGTCACTGCATCCTGCCTGTCTGCTCATGCAAGTAACCAGATCATCTGAGCCCATTCACAGACTTATCAATTTTGCTCCCTGTTATTCTATGCAAAAGGTATTCCAGAACAACACTCTTCCCATGCTTATAAGCTTTCTGCTTTGCAGCCAATATTTACCCATTTGTTTTTGTTCCATAACTGTCCTTAAGCTTTTAATAGCTCTTCTTACTTTCTCACACTTTATCCTCCTGAGGAATTTATGGACCTCATTGTGTTCTTTTTGTTTTGTTATGTTATACAATCTGAGTTTTGATAGACTGCCACCATTCTTCTGACTGTCCCTGTAGCCCTTTTCTGTGCCTGTGACAGTTAGAAGTTTATTTGCAGGGGGAAGGGCATGAGGGAACCGGGCATGATCAGAATTGCACACAGTACTCGAGATTAGTTTCACTACTCCTTTTGTACAGTAGCGTTCACATTTCTCAATCTTTCTTGGAAATTCCATGTTTGACCTACGCTAAGGTACCCTTTTGATAGTGGCAGCACACTTAGTGGCTTATAAGTGTCCTGTGATTAGCAAAATACAACTAGACCTTTCTTCTTAATGCATTCTCCCCAGTTTATAGCCAAAATGCTTATTAGTTCTAAAGTGCATGGCCTGTTAAATTAATCTTTATTCCTTAATGTTATCATTTTCTTTGAGTATTATTTTACTCGTCTATTGTATTGATGATGCCTCCTAAATTTGTCTCATCAAATTTCATTAGTACACACCTGTATTAACTTTTGAGGTTCTTAATGAACATGCTTGTATAAGACCAAGACCAGTCTTTGTCAAAGTCTGCTAATGATCTCTCTATCCAGTTTCTTACCTGTTTTACGGATTTGTGAATCCCTGTTTTCTCTGGCTTAACTAACTTCTCATGAGATAGCAGCATACTTAACTGAAGTCCAGATCTATTCCACCTCATTTCCTTTCTTAATAAATGTGCTTGATCTCTGCGTGCCACTCCCGCTGTCTTCAGAGTTCTAGTTTCAGCTTTGGTTGCTCGAGGTAATGGAAGGAACTGAGGCAGGCAGTGGCGTGCCCCCTTTTATAGCAGTGTCCTTTGAATATTTGGGGCTGCACGTTAAGCAAAGGGCATGCAACTGCTTAGGCATATTGTCTGTACGTTCTAAGAGCCTAAGTGATGGATGGGTGGGTAACCTTACTTGCCCTTGTATTTAATAAAGTTTGCCTGAGTTAAATGTCACGATGCTATAAAATTTTTTAATGAACTGTTTTGAGTAGACACCCTGTGGTCTGAGTTGGCTTCAGGCTATTTTAATGCTCTAATAACTGAACTTCTTGTGTTCTCTGTAGATCAACAATAAGGCAGCAACTGGAGAAGAGGTTCCACGTACCATCATTGTTACCACCCGTTCTCAGTATGGATTACCAGAGGATGCTGTTGTGTACTGCAACTTTAACCAGCTGTATAAGATTGATCCTTCCACTTTACAAATGTGGGCTAATGTGAGTAGCTATATGTTTGTTTGTCATGAAGCATCAGGTCAGATCTCTAGAATTTGGCTGTTGTCTTGTCTACAGGAATAGTTTTACCATGAACCACAGGCCTCTAAAGTAGTCGTCTGCATTGAGTTCAGAAAAAAGTATGTGCCTGACTTGTTGGGAATATTTACATGGTTTGAAAGAAGCCCGTATCCTATGAACAATCTTCTATGTGGGGGGTAGGGTGTTAATGGGACTAGAACCCTTTTAGGTCTGATTTAAAATCGAACCATGTTGCTAATTGGTGAAAATCATCATTTCTTTGACAGGCTTTTTAGTGGGCTGCGTGAAACAAGTTTTTAATTCTGTTGGCACAGTGACCTTTATAGCCTTGTCAGAAGGCGATGTTTCTGAAAGCTTTTTCTGTTTTCTTCCTGACTTGTTCTTAGATTCTTAAGAGAGTTCCAAACAGCGTATTATGGCTCTTGCGTTTCCCAGCTGTAGGAGAACCCAATATCCAACAATATGCCCAGAACCTGGGCCTTTCCCAGAATCGAATCATCTTCTCTCCCGTTGCACCAAAAGAGGAACATGTGAGAAGGGGCCAGCTGGCTGATGTTTGTCTAGACACTCCACTTTGTAATGGGCATACTACCGGGATGGATGTACTATGGGCTGGGACTCCCATGGTCACTATGCCAGGTAATGTGTCAGGAAAACAAAACTGTTAAACTGTATGATGGCTGGTTACGTTGAATGCAGTTATAGATCTGCAGCTCCTGTTTCTGATGTTGGTTTTCTTAATATAAATGCTTAGTTTGTTGAGTTCATGGACAAACATAAATTCACCTTCTTTCTGTGCTACGAGCTGAATTTAAGTGCAGCCCAATTCCATTATACCCTACTTAGTGGTTGGGTTTGGTTATACTTCATAAGTAGCATTTTGTAGTGACAGTCCCTTCTGTGCATATTTTTGGAGAGGAAGGAGAGAAATAATTTTATTTAATAGACATGTTAAGAATCAGAAAGTTTTGATGCTGTGTTCTTTATTTTACAGGAGAGACACTTGCGTCACGAGTTGCTGCATCCCAGCTTACTTGCCTCGGTTGTCTTGAGCTTATTGCAAAGAGTAGACAGGAATATGAGGATATTGCTGTAAAACTGGGAACTGACCTAGAATAGTAAGTAGGTTCATTTTGTGGAATGAGTAGAAGATGCCATGTGGAGTTTAGTGAACATTAGCAATCAAAATGGAATAAAGTCCTGTCAGCACCTAAAGTAGCAGACTAATTTTTAACCATTAAAATAACAGAACTGGCTGGCCTCCAGGCCAGTATGGGGATTCAGTACTGAGGATGGAAGGTGTGAACCTTACTAATGTGTGA